CAGTGAGAGACATGGTCGTTAGTGTCGAACTAAAATAAAACTCTAAAAAAATAAGGCTTGTTAATTATAAACCCTAATTGATAAACTAGATGAAGTAAAGTATCTTTAGTATTTTGTTTACAGTATTCAAATATTTTTTTTAATAGTATAGAATCATGTAGTTATATACTACAGATAATTAATTACCCATTATCTCTGAGTGGATATCACAGGCTTCACAATTTTGCTAAAAATATCATTGAAAAAGAATCTTAAATACTTTTGCTTGAGATCTTGATATTAATTATAAAGTAGGATTCTTTTATGACCAAAGTTATATAAACTCTTATTTCAATGAGCTTATTCCTATTTTTTTGTTTTTTTTTTTATTTTTATTTATAACTAAACAAAATTTTGAATTTGATTTCTTTACTAAGAAAATATTGGACATAAATTGTTCCTTATAATATATATTATATAAATTGTTGCTTATAAGAGTGGATGGTCTTAATCTGAAGTAGATCATTTATTTCTGATAAGATTGACAGGTTTAGTAGGAAACATGTTTTGTACAGGCAGAGAGATAAAATTTAAGGAGTAATCTTTAATGTATAAGACCTTACAAACAAATCGTCTGAGATATCTCTCCAGAATCTGTTGTGTTTACTTAGATTTCCTGCTAGTACACTTGCTTTCACTTAAGAAGGCGAGCTCTGTTGTATGAATGGCCCTGTTTGGGTTAATGTCTCTGGGGCGCTTTCCAATGTTTTTATTGATGTACCCCTGGGGATAAGTACTTCTATTGTCCGGGAAAACTTTTGAATTTTACAGTCTTACGTAGTACCATTAACTCGGGCATCTGCTTTAAATCTTCACCTAAATGCTTCATAGCTTTAGCAGATTTGCTTCAATCTCAACTTAGCCTCCCCTATTATTTCCATGGGGTCACTTTATGTGAGATTTCCTCTAGTTTCAGAATTAAGATGAGTGGCTTACCAAGTAAGGACAGACTAGACCCTAACTTGGTGTGTAAAGACTAACTCCATCAGTACGCCTCCATATTGAGTCCATTGCCCAAAATTTTAAGGATATTTTCCTTTAGCAATGGCCCTTTAGTTTCATTAAGAGGGTGGTCTTCTTTTTGATTAAAGTCTTAAAAGAAAACTCAAAGTAGAACAAAGTACAATTCACAAATGGTTGGATGTAAGTAACTGAACATAGCAATATCTCCCAATATTACGTGAACAATATTCCTAGCCTTCATATAAAATGTTTCTATATATTTGACAACACTATCAAAAAACCAGTATCTTCTTTACCTTACTGATTTTAGCATGTCCTCACTAAATCCGGCACACCCACTGGGTCTTATAATCTCACTACATTTAATCCGCACTAGATTTGTTATTAATCCACACTGGGTTCATGATAAAACTCACACTGAGTTATGGTTACTATTTGTAATTCCATTCCGTGTAAATTAAATAGACTTGAATAAAAAAAAATATGTCCAATTTACCAGCATACGCAATATAAAATTTTTCTAGATGTTTTCCAACACTATCAAAAAACCAGTATCTTTTTGTCTTAATAAGTTAATAGGTCCATACTGGACCTGGAACCCGCATTGGGTCCTAGGTCCATACTGACTGCACTAAATTTATTGAGTGTTATAAACCCGAACTGGGTTCTATAAAAAAAACTCGTACCGAGTTATAACACTACTTGGAATCCCATGTAAAGTAATGTGATTCGAAAGAAAAAAGTATGTCCAGTTTACCATCGTCCGCCATATAAAAAACGAATTTCACTGAGTTATGGCACTACCTGGAATCACATGTAATGTTGAAAAAAAAAAGCCATTTTCTTTCATTTGCCAGATGTTTGACAATGCTATTAAAAAATTAGCACTGAGTCTTTTTAGTCCGCTCTGGATTTTTTATAAACCCACAGTGGGTTTTAGATAAAACTCACACTGAATTATGACACTATCTGCAATCACATGTAAAGTAATGTGAACTGAAAAAAAAAATAGTTATGTCCAGTTTACCATCATCCTCCATATAAAATTTTGCTAGATATTTGATGCTATCAAAAAACCAGTTTCTTCTTTGCCTTTATGATTTAATAGGTCCGTACTGAACTCGCACTGAGTCTATTTAATCCGCACTGGATTAATTATAAACCCACACTGGGTTTTAAATAAAACTCTCACTGAGTTATAGCATTATCTGGAATCACATGTAAAGTAATGTGATCAGAAAGAAAAAGTATGTCCAGTTTACCATCGTCCGTCTCCAATTTCTTTTGTAATCTAAAACAATTCATTTATTTTTAACTCTTATGTTGATAAATAAATAATATCTCTGGTTCTTCTGCCAGAGTACTAAAACTGGACGAACTGCATTTTCTATGCCTAAATATTCTGCTATTTACATTGGTGATTTTCTTCATTAGAGTCGCTCCCGCTGTTTAAGATTTCTTCCTTTCTGTTTGTTGTTTCTTAAGTGTTTTTACCTTCTTACTTAAACGACACAATTTTGAGTCGCTGTCAGACGTTTCTGTTTATGAATAATAATAATAATAATATTTTCCTATATTTTATTAAAATTTAAAACATTTTCAATTTGACGTGTGTACACAACTTGGCACTAAAATGAAAAGTGAGCCACGCCGCAAAATGCAGGAACTACATAGAAAGTGAGGTCATAAGTTTTGGCTTTGGACTAAGGTGTACAACTAGCTCATAAATGAGTACTACGTTTACTTATCATATGAAGAAGGGAGCGCAGTGTATAATTATAGAGAAGTTGAAAGTAGATTAAGAAAAGTGTGCCTTGGTACGGCCCTGGTTAGATGTAGTCTCGTTGATCATTCCTATACAATGTAAATTGTATTTAAGGAAAATAACAAAAAATAAATTTGGGGTTTAAAGAATGATTTTTTGAAGAATAAAGGCTTTAAAGTGTTGGAATATACGAGCCCAGACGCATATGAATTGGACCAAAACAAATAATAAACACAATTTTATTTTTCTGAATTAGAATTTATTTTTCTGAATTAGAATTTATTTTACTATTATAAATTCAACGGATTTGATACTATGTTGTTTTGACAATTAATCAATAATATATAAGACTTTTATCAACTACAATAATTATAAAATGAAAAAAAAAAGGAAAATTAATGTCTGGCGCAAATTAATTGGACCAAATATTTAGTCAGCGTTACCACTGTGTGACGTCACCCTTACGTTTTATAACGGCTTCAATTCTCTGTGGCATAGTGCCTACTAATGTTTGACAGTAATCTGGTTGAAAGTTATTCCAAATTTCCTGAACTTTAACCTTTAATTCAGGAATTGTGCGAACTGGCGTAGTTCGAAGTGCTTTTTTCATCTGATGCCAAAGAGTCTCAATAGGAGATAGGTCAAGACTGCTTGAAGGCCAGTTTAAAACAGGAATATTCATTTCCTGAAACCATGATGTTATGGATTTCGCTGTATGGCAGGCTGCGCCATCTTGTTGAAATATAAATTCTCCATCTGGCAGTTGAATTTCATTAATGGAAGGCAACAATTCTTCTTGTAAAATACTTTTGTACTTTATAGCATCACCATCAATGAAAAGGAGATGTCCAACTCCTTGTGAGGACATACAGCCCCAGACCATCACAGATGCCGGGAACTTAACCTTTCTTTTGAGGCAATCTTTGTGATATTCTTCTCCTGGCATTCGGATAACTCTGCTTCGTGTATCGCCAACACAGACCTCAAACTTAGCTTCATCGCTCCAGATAACTGAATCCCATTGACGTTGAACCCAGTTTCGGTGCTCTTTTGCCCATAACAATCGGTTTCTTTTTTGTTTCTCTGTGAGAAGTGGTTTTTCCTTTGCCTAAAGTGAGATGATAAATTTGAATATTTAAGATGAGATAAGTGTTTCTTGTAAAAACTTACCTTGTAGAATCCATATCCCATTTTTTTCATTCTCCTCAAACAAGTGTCTTTTGAAATTGGTCTACCAATTGCATGGGCCCATTTTACAGCCAATTCTCGAGAAGAAGCTCGGCGATCTTGTTTAATAAGTGTCCGAAGAGCACGATCATCTCTTTCGGTAATCTTTGAAACACGGCCAGTTTTAACTTTTGTTTCAACATTTCCGGTTTTTTTTAAATTTGAAATTATATTTCTTACAGTTCCTTGAGGAATACTTAAATTTTGAGCAATTTTATGTCCAGAAAGTCCTTTCTTATGGGCCGCAACAATAGAATTTCTTAAATCGTCAGATAAACACTTTCCGCGAACCATTTTGACAAGTAACTAAATTGAATCACTCAACAAACGTCATAAATTATTTCTTCAACGCCCACTTGATAATGTAATTTCCAGAAAAAAATATACAAGAGATTTTATTGGATAAATAAATATTTATCATTACGATTGGGTGATGGTCCAATTAATTTGCGCCAGACATTACTTTTCTTTTTGTTTATTTTATAATTATTGTAGTCGATAAAAATATTATATATTGTTGATTAATTATCAAAACCACATGGTATCAAATAAGCTTAATCGTATCCATTGAATTTATAATAATAAAATAAATTCTAATTCAGAAAAATAAAATTGTGTTTATTATTTGTTTTGGTCCAATTCATGTGCGTCTGGGCTCGTATACCGTATTTGACTGCATGTGTGGTTTTTCTTTAATTATCAAGGGATAAAAGAAAAATGTTTAGGACACATTTTTATTAATAAAGGCGTAGATGATTTATTAAAAAGTAATTTGCAATAATTTTTAAAGTAATTATTTTTTAAGTGTAAAGGTTAAAGAAAAGGTCCTTTATTTCTCACAAGTCAATTTATTGGCGACCGGTTTCGAAGTTGTCACTTCATCATCAGGCACACCTAAATGGAATGTCAAGGAGTCAATTGTAATAAAAACAATTATACACTTTACACTTAATCCCTACTACTCACATATGGCTACCCTCACTCCAAATAATTATTTTTTGTTTAGGTACAACGCCACTGTTCTCGCATACGGACAAACGGGATCTGGGAAAACATACACAATGGGATCGGGCTTCGACGTCGATGTTAAAGACGAACAAAAAGGGATCATTCCAAGGGCCATTCACCATCTCTTCGATGGCATCCATTCCAAAATTCAAAAGGCACAGTCAGCTGGAACACTACCACCTGAGTTTAAAGTTTCAGCGCAATTCATGGAACTCTATAATGAAGAAGTTATCGATTTGTTTAATCCTTCTTACAGCAAAGTAAGTCGGCCGGAATTGCATTCAATAAATATCCAATATCGTTTCTATTACTTTTTTTCACCTTTACACGATGGCGATTAAACTTCAAATAACAAATAAAAAAAAATTATTAGCTTTTTAAAATTGAGATTTTACTTGCTTCCAAAAGGTGTCCATAATTAATAAAATTTGAACTATTTACTTCTTTAATTAATAAAATTTGATAGTATAAGTTTAAACAATAAACTTTGAAAGGAATGCCCTTAACTTTGTGGAAATATATTTAGTTTGTAGGTCCCATTTTAAATGAATTTTTAAATAATTGTTTATCACAGAGGGTCAAAATTGTAAAGTCCAGGAAAGTATGATGCAAATGGAATATATTTGATTTTCCCTATATTAATGTTAATTTATTATAATTAAACCATATTTTTTTTAAGTAATTTTCAGCCTCATGTTTAACAGTATGCTAAATATTAGATCTACAGGAAATATCCGTATCATCAACGAGGCTTATAATTTGTCCTTGTGCATTTAGTGTACCCAAGAGGATTTCCAAAAACTCTTAAAAAAAATTTAGAGCTCATTTTATGTCGTTTCCCTTAATCCAAGAATGCTCCCTTAGAGCTTCAAAACGGATTTCTGATAATGATTATAATTCTGTAAAAACAGTTTGATATTCATAAAACAATTGTCAGGTATTTTGTTTATTTTCCACAGCCATCTTATCATAATTTAGAAACTTATTAGTTAGTCAATGGAAACATTACTTATTATGCAAGAAATATGAAAAGTTTAAATCTATTTTCCAGAAAACATTTCGTCATAAATGCATGATTTTTGTGTAAATATGACGAATTTTTTTAAATAGTTCAAAATGGCGACTGTTTAAAAGAAAATAAATTAATAAAAATATCCAATATTCCACTCAAATGAGCCGCTTATGACTACATTAAAAAATGGTATTTACGAAATTTGATTGGTTAGATTTCAATAAATAAACGTACAAAATGATATAATTTAACAGACATCCATTCAAATGTTAGAGCACCACCTTCAAAGATCTCTAGCTCCCTTATGAAGCATTTTTGGATAATTTAGGTTAGATCTACATAAAATGAGCTATAGATTTTTTCTTTGAGGAGAGTTTTTGAACAACCTGTACATAAAGAGAATAGTATAAGTCCCAGTACAGTACCTTGGGATACACCATAAGTAATAGTCCTCGCTGTGTTAAATAAAAATGGATTATAGTCATATATTTAAAGCAATGGAGGCTACAGGGAGGGGGGGCTATGGCTCCTTCAAGATGAAAATTCTTACGAATTATGAGCCTTTTATTCAAAAAAATATGCTAAAAAGGGAATGGCTAAAGGCAATACCCCCCCCCCTCCTAAAATTCATCTCGAAGCCGCCCTTGAATTAAAGTAGGTACTTTGTTAAGAAGCCTTATTCAAAATAGCCAATTTGTAACTTTTAACACCCTGTATATCAAAAATTTAGAAATTCTTCTCCATAATGAAAATGCCTCCACCGGCGGCGTCCATGATTATTATCATTTATATAATCTACCTATAGTTTTCAAAATGTTATTTTCTATTGTTCGCAGCTTCCAATTAGGTGCTTTTAGACGCTTACGATGATTCGTCCGAACGGACGCTGATTAGATATAATTAACGAGTAACTGAGCTGTAACTATAAGTAACTGATTTTTAATGATACATTCAATTATCGTTTTTGTTAGTAAAGCTAAATAAGAAAACAATGTGAAAAGGTACACCAATGAAAAAACTTCAGACCTTGTACTCTTCGTTGCGTAGTATAAGAAATATAAATAAATAATCTACCAAAGTAGATGGGCAATATCCAGCTTCTCTTCATTTAAATCGCCAGGACCTGACGGTATCTATCCAGCCCTACGTCAGTGGGGTCTGGAAGAACTCACACCGCACCTGGTGGGTATATTTAAATCCTCGTTAGCTCTGAAGTATATCCCCAAAAAAATGGAGAGAGGTAAAAGTGGTATTCATACCCAAACCTGGAAGGATGGATTATACTGTCCCAAAAACATACCTAGTCTGACGTCGTTTTCCATGAAGACATTGGAAAGACTATGCGAAAGGTACATAAGGGATGCGTTGATCACAACAACACCACTACACCAAAACCAACACGCATACACCCCAGGCAGATCCACTAATTCAGCCCTTTATCTAGTTGCTGGCCGGATAGAGATCCCTGGACAATAAGGAGTCCGCCTTGGGTGTTTTCATAGACATACAAGGTACTTTTGATAAAACCACCTTTCCCAAGATAATACACTCACTAACCAACAGGAATGTTCCACAGATGGTTAGTGGGTGGATACATAACATGCTCTCAAAGCGAGCAGTAAACATAAATGTAGAATATGTGAATATAAGAGGCTTGGTTGCGAGGGGATGTCCACAGGAAGGGGTGCTATTACCTCTACTGTGGAACATGGTGCTCGACACCCTCATCAGCCGCCTCAATAATGATAGTCACTACACAATAGCATATGCAGATGACCTGGTCATTCTGCAAACAGGGAATTTTGAGAACATACTCTGCGAAAGTAATTCTCAAAATTATAGAACAGTGGTACAAGGACCATTCACTGTCTATCAATCCTAAGAAGACTGAAATGGTCCTTTTCACAAGGAAAATGATGAAAATGGAATTAAAACCTCCAGAACTCCCAAACACAAAACTAAACTTTGCAACAGAGGTGAAGTACTTAGGTCTCACCTTTGACAGCAAGTTAACATGGAACTCGCATTTAGAAAACAGAGTCAAAAGAGCATACATTATGAAAAATGCCGCCGAACCGTGGGGGCGCACCTGGGGTTTCTCCCCCAGAGTCGTCGCATGGACTTACACGGCTATCATGAGACCTATGCTAACATACGGTGCAGTTGTCTGGATACCAAAAACCCAAAAATTAACAGCTATCCGTAAACTAGAACACATTCAAAGAACAGCATGTCTCAACATAACAGGAGCCATGAAAACAACACCGACCAGAGCCGTGGAAGTCATTCTTAGTCTCACTCCCCTTGGTATTTACATCAAGGAGGTTGCTCTGACGACAATGACACGCCTCCGCATGGTTGGAATAGAACCTGATGTAGGATCTGGTGAGGCTTTTGTCAGGAGGCGCTCGATACGCTCCCACTGCTTCAAGCGAACATGGACTCCATCTCACCGAGATATATCTTCCATAAGCCATATAAAGTTGTAACAAAACAAATAGAAGAGCCGGAAGTGGCAGGTACGATTCATATCTACACCGACGGCTCAGGATGTGAAATATACTCCAGATCCTTAAACCTTAACATAAAATGGGCTGTGAGCAAGAGTGTTAGTGTAGTTCAAACAGAGCTCACGGGGATTCTCATAGCAGCAAAAGAAATCAAAAGAAACAATATTACTGGAAGGATTATGCTCATCTATACAGATAGCAGACAAGCACTACTCACCCTGAACAGACCACGAATTTATTCAGGGTTAGTACTAGAATGTCACGAAGTTTTGGCCGAAGTATCCATCAACAACGTGGTCACCTCTTGGCGACGTTGTCAACTACATCAAATATGTAGGCTGGCTCACCAGCTAGGAGGTGCCTATCATCTTAGGAGGATGCACAAAGGGCCTAGTGAGGCCAAAATGCCGTGAGGGTAACCCACCCACCACACGTTACAGATACAGATACCAAAGCAGATTTCTAAGGATTTTTCTACCTATATCTAATGGGTCACTATCAACATCGTTGCTAACCCCTGAGTCAGACTGTTAAGGGTAATTTTCAATGTAGAACTTCTTGAGAAATCAGCAATGTTACTCTGGTGATTGTAGCCAAATATTTTGTACTTGTTTTTGGGCACATGTACTAAAAAGCTGATCCAAGGTCTTGTAAATCATGCAATACGTCTCATTAGCCCGAGAAGCACCCGTTATTCACATTATCAGTGCAACTGTTACGTTGTAATCGTCACTCCCTTTTTAATATGAAAAAATAAATACCGAATTGTAATATATGAAGAAAAACAATGAATATCTTTGTTGCAACGTATTTGTCGTCTAATACTTTAGTAAGAAGTTCATTAATATTTTCTCCAGAGAAATAACTAGCTTTTTTAAGTTGAAAACCTTTACTTTTCGCTTCAATAATGCTCGTAGTTTTATATACTTTTCTATATTTATTTCTTGATGTATATTGATAATACTTCTCTAAAATACACCAACATAACAGATTCCAAAAACGATTTTGTGTTTCCTTTAATCAATTTAATGGAGGTTCATACGCTGCCACTTACAATTTTCTTGATTCTTCTGGCAATAAATTCAGTGAAGCAATTTCAGCAGCTTCTCACATCTGGCGGAGTTAAAGACATTTTATTTCCATTTTTCTTAGTTTTAAGTTAAATATTTTATAAACTATTATGCAATTAAAATTTGACGTTTTAATTCATAAAATTAATTTGAGAAATTAATTTGACTTAGATGACAGCCGCGGCCTACTAATAAAATGGGTAACAGCGGCAATCATTATATAAATGCTTAAACAAAAGAATTGTCGGTGGGAAGGGTTGGTATATCTAAGAGGCTGCTAAGTACGATGTATTCTACCTACAATACGTGAAATCTTTAATAATGGATTAAATTTAAAAGTCGAACATAATGAAAATATTATTTTTCAAAAAACCGCTTATACATCAGGCTTGGTGACTACTCTTTCGAATAAAAATAACGTCCAGGATGGAAGACTCAGTCGCTACCCCCTTAGACATACGAGCCCTTTCCACAAGCAGCTATTGTTTGACAGGTCGTTGGAATGCCTTATTGGAAGAGTAGTGATAAAAAGTAGTGAATAATGATTATTCATGGCTGATAGTGCATAATATATAGCATTTTAAGTGAGACAACTAATAAAAAATGGGTAGATACATTTTAAAACAGTCGTGAACAAATTCATTAACTCATTAACATTTATGCAATAA